TTCAGGCAGACTCGTTTCTGGTGTTGTCCCAGCATTTGAGCTTCTACAGAAGCTTGATAATTCAAAGCTTGAACAGAGTCCGAGACATTTGCCTTAGGTTATTCTTGGCCCTCCCCTCATTTGGGTCGTTGTCCAACCGGTTGAGCAGGTAGTAGCTGTTTCGTCTTCCTTTCGCGACGATCCAAACCATCGCAGCTGTGAATTTTCATTCCGCAGTAGCAGCCATTTTACACAAGACTTCTCTTTCGGATATCTGAACTCTTGCCAAGTCGGGACGTGTTAACCCAGTTATTCGTCTCAGAAAGCATATTTAAGCCCCTTGTATCGGAATCGAAGTTTTTCAGTCATGGCTCATGACCTTAGGTAATCATGGGGATGCGAGTCGGCTTGAACACCGAGAGCTTAGTTTTCAGACTGAGCTCTGCTTTAGTCACAGTGGATCGGGCAAGTTGACGCAGAACGCCACTGGCTACTCCAATTCGTCGGGCGATCTCTCCTCAAATTTTCCATCACTAGTAAACACAATTCCGAGGTCCTTGAGCTTCTCCACCTGCTCCACCGCATCTCCGTTAATTTAAAGAGAGCAACGGACAGGAGAAAGTGAAAGCACTAGGCTTTTAGTTTTAAATGCGTTCACATACATGCCGGTTACGTCGCACTCGGCGGCGAACCTTTCTAGGGAGCACTGTAGATCAGTTTCAGAAGATGCTAATAAAACAAGGTCGTCTGCAAACAGCTACCTTCTCGACTTCACATTTCCTACACCGATGCACTTATCGCCTTGGCAGCTTATCACTATTATGTCCATGTACAACACAAATAAGATAGGGGACAAGACGCAGCCTTGGCGGATACCAGTGCCAACGTTGATTGGTTTCGACTTAACGCCATTAACTCTGACGCAGCACCTGCTATCAGAATACAATGATTGGATGGCCCTTAGCAGCCAACCATCGATACATCAGTCGCAGGCATGCGACCAGACTGTTGCACGAGACTGGTTCATGGGCTTTTTCTAGGTACACAAAACACATTTAAACCGGATGAGCGAATTTCCAACAGTCTGTGATGGAGCGAAGACCTGGTTAGAATTTCTTCGGCTTGACCTGAAGCTATACTTGAGATCTTGTAGAATCACACCGGAGATGGTTTTATTATTAATCTTTAAACAAATTCCTTAAGTTAGACCAAATTCATTGTTCTCTTTTGCAAATTTCTCCAAAATGCATTTAACGAAGCAGTGATTTCAGAAATTCTAGAAGATTGTGATTGTTTGTAGTCTGTCTTGAATTAAGTAAGGCAACGACCTGGCTTGCATCGCACCTGGCGCTACTCGCTGTTTTATATCTTTCGACCAGCTGGACTACCGGACTCCTGCCCTTGCATACAGGAGGTATGGCTCATATATAAGGTTGAGGTTAACGCTCCAGAAATACAGTGATCTTGATGCGTTTGAGTCGGTATTAGTGCATATCGATTTAACTGTAATTAATGTGAGGTTCCACTTCTGATCATATGTTTCTTTAAACAGCGTAATGGTAACGGAGTGAAACACTGAACACTAAGGAACGATGGCATCGAAATTGAGGTTTATTCCTGTTCCTTCCAAAATGGTAAACGGAGATTTTGCCCGAGTTCGCCAAAAAGAAGCAACAGCCTGCCCTTCGAGGAGTTGTTTAGTTTTTCGTTTTAAGCTGATGTATTTTATTAGAAAGTATACTGTGTAGCTACTCTTAAAAGTGTTTTAGTTTATTACAATCAACCTGATTATCCCGATGACTTGCTGGACTCCTCGCCTAGCGCATCTCCATCTACCCGCAGTTATAGTGATGACCCGGAGTATTTTGAATTCTACTGTATGACTGCCGAAGAGGCGAAGAACATGCTAAACGCTTGTATTGGCACTGTGTGCCAGAAAACATCTCTGAGTACCGCCGCTACCAAGGCAGTCTTACGGAAGCGCAAGTGGAACGTTGAAGACGTGGTAAGGTGCTATCATCAGGACTCGAGAAGGTTGCTGATCGAGTCGGACGTGGAGCCGCATCGGGTGTGTTCGGCGGCGTCTACCAGCGCCGACGTCTGCCCGGTGTGCGTGTGCAAAGCAGCTCCTGAAGAGATGGCATCCCTCGCTTGTCTGCATCGCTTCTGCGCCAGTTGCTGGAGGATGTACCTCACTGTACAGCTGAATCAGGGATGTAGCACGTGTACGTGGTGGTAGGTGACAGAAGCGTGCCATTGATTAACCGCGTTTTATAGCGATCGAATGCATGGAGACGAACTGTCATCTTCTAGTGCTGGAAGACTTTGCGTTGACGTTTTTGGCCGCTGCCAGTGTCGAACTAGTCGAGAAGTACGAACGGTTCGCGTTTCATGACCAGATTAAGGTAGGTTCTGTTTTATTGCTATGGAAAAATCCTAAGAGTGCGATTCTCAAGACGACGGCCGGCGTCTGCTGTTTAGACTCACCCGTTGCTGCGTTTCTGTCCGGGAACCAACTGCAATACGGTGTTCAGGGTGGCCGTGGCCGAGCCGAAGAAGGTGACGTGTAACAACTGCGGCAGGAGTTTGTGGTACGAGTAACGATAGTCCTGAAGTTTGCTGATTTGTCGTCCATCGTATGTCTGACTTCGGATTCTTCTCATAGTTTCACATGCGGCCGTGAATATCATGCGCCGACCAACTGTTGCACCATCCAACGCTGGCTGACGAAGTGCGCCGACGATTCTGAAACGGCCAACTACATCACTGCTAACACCAAGGATTGTCCGAACTGCCACATCTGTATCGAGAAGAACGGCGGGTGCAACCATATGCA